ACCATGCAAATGCATTGCAGGGACGGTTGAGATTTCAAAAGATGCAATTATTGACTTTGAAATCATGCCGAGAAGTAGAAAAAACTCTTTTATCTCTCTATAAATAAGGACTTGTTTCCTCCTAGTTTATATACACAAAAGCAATACGAATTTCCTAATTATGTTGTGAGAACTTTACTTTCTATCAAAGATGCAACTGAATTATCTAGATCTCATAGTACTTGTACATTTGTATTGGCAAGATAGTTTCTTCTAACATTTGCTCCCATTTACTTCGAGGACAAATTTATCTAGTAGAAACTTAAATGCACATTGATTAGGGGTAAGTGTTATCTTGAGAAAGCGATGTATCTCACTTGGGATCAAAGAGATCAATCCTCTATTGCCATGTATCATGAGGACAAATTTGCAAATGAGGATATCCTCATCACTTGTCTTCTAAGAACTAATGAGAGAGAATTGCTATTTCGAAGCAATGCATAGCGTGCGGTATACTTACACGCATAAACGTGGGCGAGGGTGAGGGCATAAGATCACTTGATGGTGCACTTTGTAATTCTCACACTCGCATTGGCGCATGAAGTGCACCTTGCCCAAGCTCGTGTGTTGGTTTGGGTTGTATTCGTTTTCGTGGAACAAGCATGGCCATCAATAGCACGCAGAGGCATCCCATTAATGTGCACCTTCGATGAAGTTGCATGGTGCTGATTAATGATGGACTCTGATGTTTTGAGCCCCACTAGTTCCAGTGGACCGTCACACTAGTGAAAATGTGCAACTCCAGTGGATGGGCGTGTTTCCACACTTGTGCTTCACTGGTGAAGACGTCTATATAATGTGTGACGATTGGTCTTCCGGATTCCGAAGAGACGCCATGTGACTATTGGCTCATGCGTGTTAAGTGCAGTGGTTACTTTCCTAAAACTTCAAGAGATACCACGCAGATCTGTCGCACTCACAGTTGATATTTCAAGAGATGCAATTCTTGACTTTTTAAGTTACAGAGAAGTTGGAAAGGCACTTTTTCCCTCTATGAATAGGTATTTGTTTTATCCTATTTTACATACAAAGAAGTAATATGAATTTTTTAAGAATTTTGTGAGAGCTTTTTCTCTCTAGTAAAAAGGCAACTCTAGTACTGTAGATTTTATGATATTTGGGTATTTGTATTAGCAAGATAGTTTCCTCAATCACCTGCTCCCATATATCGTGAGGACAAATTTTCCAGGTAGAAACTTAGATGACACTATTTCTTACCAGAAAGGGGTAGATGTTGTCTTCAAAAAGCGATATATCGCACCTTGGATCAAAGAGATCAATTCTTTGCTCTTATGTATCGTGACAACAAATTTGCATGGTAGAAACTTAGTGGACATTGATTCTTATCAATAAGGAGAAATTGTGGTATTGAGAAAGGGACATATCGCGCCTTATTTAAGTGAGATTGAAACATCTTTTGTTTCCTTCATCTTTTATTTTGCCCCATTTCTTCCTCCCATTTTCTCTCTCTCAAATTCGTCTGAGTAACTTACCAAAGCGACCATTCTCTCTTCATTGGTAAGCTCTCTCTCTTCTTGAGCCGTAATAACTGGTTTGCATAGGTGTTCGCTCCCTCTTTAAGCCAGCCCCTCTCTCTTGTATAAGGTGCTCCCTCCCTCTCGAAGCCCTTCGCTCCCTCTTTAAGCCAGCCCCTCTCTCTCTTGTATAAGGTGCTCCCTCCCTCTCGAAGCCCGTCCCCCTCTTTCCCTTAATAACTGGTTTGTATAAAGTACTCCCTCTCTTTAACCAGTTATTTTGGTATGGATCAACCCTATTTCTTTAGTCCAGTGGTTTAAAAAGCGGATCGGTGACCCAAATCGAGCATCTCAAAAACTCATCCGGATCCGTGAATCGGCGATTCGGATCGGGAATCGGCCGAATCGGTCGGATTAAGCCTAAAAAAAAAATCCAAAAAAATTATTAAAATTCATTATAAATGTTGTTTTTTGAGAATCCAATGAGAAATGGGGGTACTCCATTAAGAATTTTTCTTTTTTTTGCATCAATATACGAATATTGAGATGTTATTTCCCTGTACTGTTAACCCTTAAATTTATATCATACAAAAGAAGAAACATTAAATTATCATGGATGAAATATATAATCATACATGGACTACAATAAAGTAATAATACAAACAAATTATTTTACTGTTATAACAAATATAATACATTATAATACTTTATAACACAAAAAAATTAATAAATAAAATACAAGATTTGATTATCAATGTATAATTATTATTTATAATATTATAACAACTATGATTCAAAAAATATTAAAAAACACTTCCATATCGTACGAAAAAAATTAAAATAAATTCCCTTATAAATGTGAAATATTATGGCATTATAAAATTATTCAAGACAAAATTTTCACCTAATAATACAAACTAACAATGTCAAAATTCAGAAAAAAATAAAAAAGAAAAAAATAAATACATATCATACATCCTAGTATTTTGCAAAGTATAAGATATACACTACAATTTTTATGTCAATAAGCATTCACAAGGGGAAACTGAAATTAGTCCCACATCGTTCTCATTGAGAAGTAAATCTACCTATAAAAGGTAGAGAATGCATTTCAATGGTACAACCCGGTAGAGAATCCATGGGAAGTGATGACATGGCTTCAACATGGGTACGTTTTTAATGATGACGAAGTTGGGAAGTGATGACGTGTGACGTGCGAGAACCGGTTGAAATTTTGCTAGTAAACCCGTTGAAACCACCCGTGTTAACTCGACGACTCTCTCTAGACACAGGTGAACCCGTTGAAACCACCCGTGTTAACTCAACGACTCTCTCTAGACACAGGCGCTTCTACGTCGTTTACGTGAACCGACACGGGGTGTTCAAAAACTGTGTGAAACCGGGCGACTTCGGTTTGACTCGACGACTTTTCAATTGTTGCTTTAATCTAATGCTTCAAAACGTTTTGCAGCAACAACCAAACCGTCTAGTTTACTAATTAAACTTCTTCCCATTTTTTAATTTGTACCATTAAGATTTTGAA